GCCGACGACAATATGTACAAAACGACAATATGTACCGTCACACACCCTCTAATTCCACCGGTGATAGAGTTGTGTGTGTGGGTGTGAAGATATAGACGTATAAAACTAAGATCGGATACTGGCGAAAACGATTTGTACATTTTGTTTTTTAATAATGCAGTAATCATAACTAATTTTTTCCGTATAACCTAAATCCAGTTTTCACTGAATAATTCATTAATGACATTTTATCAAATAATTAAACGATTGCTTGTCGTCAGTTTCGTTAAAAATTTCCAGTAACTTAGATCCGCCAACCATAACCACCACCGTACACTCTTTTTTACTATTTCAAGGCTGTTTATCGAAAAATGAAAGTAGACTTTTATATTAAATTTCCGATAATTAGTATGCGAATGAAATCTGAATATAGTTTACGAACATCATCTCATATATAGTGAAATAATAGAGGATTAACTATGGTGCAGGCGTTTCTGAGTTTATTTGCAAAATTTATTGATTTATAAATATAGATGTCAAAAGTAACCCTGATACCTACATTCAATTTAATCTTATTTTAAAGAAGAGGTCAAAAGGAAATGGAAAACCGTTTTCTGAGAGATTGTAGGCAATATTGATACATTTCCTTTGTCTGAGATGGAGAAAACTCCCATGTTTATACCCGATTTTTTCATTTTACATTGAAAATGACAGTTTAAAATATGTTTTTTTCAGTTGAGCTAACTTAAAAATTATGTCCCGATACACCTTAATTTATTAAACTTTAATTTAATTGTAATGGATAATTAAAGGAATTCGTTTCTCAAATTTGAGAATTCTGTAGGAACTTTTTTATTTACTAGATCTTGACCTTAAATTCATTTCTTATATGCATGGAATAAACTGGCAAATTATTTTGGGGTACAGCTGTAAATTAGTCTCTTTTTTTTTACAGTAAAGTTACACTGGCAAAATTAAGGGGGAACCCTGCTCCCTTCGTTCGGGTCTGGAAGAACCTTTCGATGTTTCATAACTACAGGGCATCAGTTATAAAATTCATGATTGAAAGTGGATTTCAATGCGCAATGTCCTATAAAAAATGATATTTAATCTCAAAATGCCTCGCAGGGTGTATTTTATTATCTTGAAAGAAAAAGCTTGACAGATCAATTAATTGATAAATTTATTATTTAAATTTTGAAGCAAGGCTTAAAATTTTCGTTCTCTTTAAAGTGGAGAATAAAAAAATCCTCTGTGACATCAAAATATTAGATTATCAAGAAAATCTTTATAGATATTGTATGCCATAGTCTTTGACGCTCTGAAATAATCATGGGTCTACTTCAGAGCTGTTTTGCCAAAAATAACAAAGTAGGCGTGAAGAAGGAAGAGATGGAGGCGTACGAGAAAGTACGATGCACAATGCAAACGGAGGAAGTTTGTTTGTTTTTGTTTGTTTGTTTGTTGTTTAACGTCTCTCTCGAGAATTTTTCACTAATATGGAGACGCCACCACTTGCCGGTGGAGGGCTGCAAAAAATTTATACCTTTACTCGGCACCTAGGGCCATTGAGCAGTGAGGGATCTTTTTCGTGCCAACACCTACTGCGACATGGGACCTCGGTCTATACTGTCTCATCCGAAGGACCGGTCTCCTCGTCCCGCAGTGGATTCGAACCCGCGATAAGGATCAACTCCTTATTCCGCGACTCTAGAGCAGACGCTCTAACCACTGCGCCCGACACGGAGGAAGTAACAGAAAAGAAAGGTGGTCTGGCCTTTGATCTAACCTTTGTTTCAGAGGCAACCCTAGAGAATGCTTGAGAACAAAAAGAAAAATTTTGAAAAAATGGAGAGGTAGGTGAATACCATTTACCGAAACACAATATCTCCTAAAAATGTTCTCTTATTTTAGTATTCCACAAGGATGAGAGTAGATATATGGCTCAGACTTAGTGATTTTGCCTATAACCGTGAATATGAAAATAAATTCTTGTGTAGATTTATTTATAGATGTTATTGAATGATAAAAGGTAATATTAATCCTAACAATCATTTTTAGAGAATTTCTGTTTTACAGAATCCTAGGAAAAGTTAAAGACCGAAAGCAGGAGCTGGCATAACAGAACAGAAAGATCCCGAAAGAGAAAGAGTGTCGCCCACAAGGAGATGTAAAGGCTCGTGAAATACTGTATGACAACATTACTACCGAATAAATTGGATATTTTTAACTAAAATTTATTTGATATAATTATATTATATTAAATTATATTATATTATATTATATTATATTATATTATATTATATTATATTATATTATAAGAACCAATGAAGTGACACCTGAACTATTTATCTGCTGTGCAAAGTTTGGTTTTAGATTTAAAATGTTCCTTATATTTGGCTTTTATTTTTTCTTCGGAATTGTCTATACAATGTGGACCTTGAAGACAGATCTGAGGCTAGCACCTAACAAAACAAATTTGTGAACAGACCGTAAAACATGGACCCCCGTAAATTCCAGAGGCGGGATCAGTGCCTAGGAGGAATAAGCATTCTCTGTTGATGGGCCTATGTATTGATCAGGTAGACGGAACATTCCATAGTCAAATTTAGTATAAAAACAAAGGCCTAACAATTGATATGAAACACGTCAACAAAAATGCGACCCAGTGATAGATTACATTTCTTAACAAGGTCATTATAAAGACCATAGAATTTACGGAATGCTTACTTTAAATGGGGATGTTGAAATCCTTGTAACATCAACTTTTCTATCTGTAACCTACCTCGTTTTACAAATTGATCGTACTTAAAGCATGCTCTAGAGTGTCGAATAAGGTGGGAGACGTAAACAACATAATTATGCAGGTGTATATTACTACATAAATAAGGAAAAGTTGACGATGGACAAGCTGAATTCATAGTTTGTCATACAATTTAGATGTTAGTGTTAGTTGGCCCTTATCATCTATAGTCAGTAAAACATCCAAGTATGAAACAGATGTGTCTTTTATTTCGAGTTCTGGGATATATCGAGTCCATTTATAAGTAACTATTGTAAATTGATAAAACGTCGTAGATGTATATGAATGTCGAGGTGAAGGCCACATTAAGTGTTTTCTTCTCATGTAGAAGTTTTTGAATAAATTCTGCTTCATAGGAATATAAAAACAAGTCGGGTAAAAAAGAAGCACATTTTTTGTCCATCAGAATTCAAACTGTTTGGTGGAAGATCTGGTTTCCGAAGACAACATGCTCGAAAATATTGTCAATGAGGAACTCCAACATCCTTTTTAATATCAACTTCAGAGTGCTTTTGAAAGGAAAAGTTGGTTCAGCAATTACGGAAGAAATTGCAAAACTAAAGAGATGGAGAGAGGATTGTGAGAAGATTCTGAACAAACCAGATCCATTGTTACTCCCTGACATTGGTGAGGAAGAGACATACCTGTAGACTTTGGAAAAGAAATGAATACCGGGTAAAATTATAATAAATATTGGAATAAGTGTATTCCGGTTTTAATTTATTTTTACTTTTAAACCAAAAGATCGCCAGTATCATTATATACAATTAATGTAAACAGTTTAATATCTCCAAAATACTTTTTAACACTCAATATACAGATTACAGAATAGAAGTCACTACGAATGTTAGACATCCTGTGGCAGAAAATGAAGATCTCGTGTTCAGCTTGTTTAGAATATAGCTAATCATCATTTTACAAATACTGTAAACATTTAAATGCCTAGGCAAATACGAGCAATTGGTGTATGTATTTTTGATATGCGTACTTGCATACCCGCAAAACGGGCATGGCCATTTGGCTCTTCTTATCCCCCCCCCCCCCCGATTTTTTTGAAGCCATTGTGGGCCGCAAAAAGGCCTCATATAGAAGGATCTTTTAAAAATTGAGAGTATGGAATACAGCAGCACTGTAACACATTATGAATATATTTGCAATGCAAGAATTGCTTAAGTTACTCATTTTGTACATATAAATTCGAAATGATCGTAGAATATATTAAACACAAATTTCTTCCTTTATCGAGTTCTTTCAAAGAAGATATATTTCTAAAAAATAACCCAAATCATAGATCAATATTTGACGTCATTAATTTCCTGCGATAGCATGAGATTAGTAGCATATTTACGACTTTTTGACTTGACTTATTCCTGTTTACTCCATGGGGAGCACAGAGCCTCAATTCTACCATATCTATGAAATATTTAGTGTTACCTTAGGGAAAACATTCAAAATTTTTAAAACTCTTTCCAGCACGAACGAGTCGATATTACTGCCAGGCCCGTAGAACGGCCTGTCAGTTTTGGTTTTTGCTTGTCAGAATTTTTTGGGAAGTTGCCCCCCACCCCCACCCCAAACCGTTGCTACGGGCCTGACTGATTAATCCCCAAGGAATCAAATTTGGCGTACATCATATTTTCTCGTCTCACCGTAACTTTCGTCTCCACTATCTCACATTAAAAAAAAACATGCATAATTTATTTGTACTCAATTGACAAAGACATCTTTTATTTTGCTTCTCGATGATTACCATTCATAAGTCAATCATGTCGGATATTGTGACGGAACATGGAAATGTTATGGTAAATTTTCTATTTGTTGCTGATCCACACAACTGATCAAATATTTAAGGATGCTGTTCGCCACATCATTGTTAGTTTTGATAGCCATTAATAATTAATGAAACTTACACCAGCTGTTTGGATTTTAAAGGTTAGGTTTTGCTGTGAAATATTTTGTAAAACTCCAATAAATATCATTTGCAATCAATGGTGAATCGAATGAAAAACAGATGGTGAAATCCTTTAACGATAACAATATAAGAAATTATAAATCGAAAATCGCGTGAGGCATCATACTACTTGAAATTATTATTTTTTAAATAACGTGTTTCATTTAATACGTTTGTAAATATATAACACCCATTTGAAAAATTTTGATTAAGTAAAAACATACAGCTGGCAGGAGGAATGTTTGTATCTCTATCTGACTGTGTCTAATGAGGCATTTAATGGCACAAAGCACGGTGTATCTTCTTGTTGGAATTTTTCTAATAAATAAACATAATGGTAAGTAAACATGCATGCTATTTTTTTTTCTTTTTTTCTAAACAGAATTATTCAGATATTAATGTTTGAATGTTTCTTATAAATGAAAAATAATTAAAATATATCATATAGGTAAAAAAGCATTCTGTCATAAGCGACAAAATTCTACTTTGTCTATATTTACTCGCTTAAAAAATTAAAACATTCCTTATCTAAAGTGTATATTTGATTTATGCAAACCACAACTAATGAAATCAAGACAGGCAGGTATCAAAAATTAAAAAAAAATTAAAAAATCTAAAATAAAGAATCTTACACTACGCAAAGACTTAAAGAGGTACATGTACTAAAGATGACGGATGACGATCTTTGACGATTAATTATTTTTTTAACATATTTTATTGTTAAGAAGTTAAAAAAGGATTGGGCACAAGTTTTTAAAACTTGCAATGTCCTCTCCTTTATGATATCTAATTACACAAAATAATGTTAAAAAAATTGAATAAATTACAAATACAATACAAAAATTTGGAACCAAAGGTCAATAAGATTATCTGCTTTCATTAACTATGCATCTACAAAAATATGGTTTGATGTTTTTCTTAATTATAAAGAAGAGTGTATTTGTTGTGTAATCTGAATTAATCATTCACCGTTTAAATGTCTATTCAAGCAGATTTAAGGAAGGTTAAACACATAGGCATTTGTAACTTCCATTCATATGTCAATTCGATATATCCCAGTGAACAACAAAGTCTGCCATATCTTTTCCCTATCTGGATGTTTTCCTAACTATAGATATAAGGGCCAACTAAGAACTAAACTGTACTTGACAAACGAGATGACTTCAGCTTTTCCATTCTCCACTTTCCTTATTTATGTAGAAATATTCCGCTTTCACCTGCATATGGTGATTACGTCTCCCAACTTATACGATACTCAAGAGCATGCTCTGAGTACAATGAAATTTTAAACAGAGGCAGACTACTGACAAATAAGTTGATGTTTCAGGGATTTCAAAACCTCGTTTAACGTCAGCATTTCGTAAATTCTATGGTCGTTATAATAACCTTGTTAGCAAAATATAAGCTAATCATGGGTCGTATTTTGGGTGACGTGTTTCATATCAATTGTTTTACTAAATTTGACTATGGAATGTTCCATCTACCTGACCAATACATAGGGCTCATGGCGGGTGTGACCGGTCAACAGGGGATGCTGTCTTGAATTTCCCATGGTCCGTGTTTTATGTCCTGTTTAAATATTTGTATTTGTAGAGTTTTCGCTGTTCGTTATCTTCACTCTTTCAGTTTAATTTGTATGGTCTCTGGGTATTCTTTCCATTTTTTAAACAAAGGTTTGCTCATTTTGTTGGGGAAAAGTTTCGAAATCATAGAGAGATGATCAAGAGATGACCAATTTTCATGTAAAGGAATATATCATTTTATACCAAATGAATCATCCAGTCATAACATATTTGAACAAATCAAAACACACTGTCGGGAAAATGTTTCCTTTTCCTATATCTCATAAACCCGATATATCAATAGAATTCTAAAATATCATTTGATAGATCAATGCAATTTTCACCTTTCAAGTGCGCTCAGATTTCTACCGAATCCATATCAAATGCGTCATCATTAATATTCTTTTAGGGACTACCTTTTCATTCTTTAGGACAAAGACCAGCTATCTGAAGAAAACAAAAAAGATCAAATATCTTACTAAATAAAATCAATTACCAATTAATCAATTAAACTAATCTTAAAATCCCCCTTTCCGATAGGGAACCTTTGTTTAATTGTGAAAATATTTAATTGTTTTGATGTTATAACAATTAGATCACAGTTTAAACAAACACATTGAAGTATACACTAAATGAGGATGCTTTCATATTCTTGAAAAGTAAATCTTTCGAAAATAATTTCGATCACCTGTGTATTATGAGTTTCTCATGTTATGTTAGTCCCAACCGTATTGGAACTCTGGTCTTGTGACTAAAAAAGGATGACTGTATTTAACACCGGGTTCTGCGTTCTTTTTATACAACTTCTCTTATTTTCATATCTTATCTAATTCTATTAATTGTGAAAGACTTTTGGTCAATTTGGAACCGAATTTGATTGTCAAAGTAATTTTAGATTGTGTTACAATAAAATAATAAAGTATTTGCTTTTATTGCTTTGCAAATTTCGAAAAGTTACATTGACCCGCCTTTGATTGAAGATTTGGTTGATAAATATGCACTAACGGTGGAGCTAATATTGTAAGAATGGGTCTAAATTAGACTTAAGCGTAATAATGTCATACATATATAGAAAAGTGATATATCTTTCTCTTTTCCATATGGCACCATACCCCCCCCCCCAAAAAAAAAAAAACCCCATACAAATAAACAAACCTTAACAGAACTTGTCCAAACCTGAAATTTCTATTTCGTGGGGATGGGTGGGGGTGGGAGGTGGTGTAGAGGACACTATTCTAAGTCAATTTTCTTTAGATAGATGACTCCCTTTATCGTTTGAAGAGGGTTCTATATTTCCTGGGGGATCCGAGGTAATTTTTTTTCCTTTCTTTTACATAGATATTTCATAACTCTGAAAATTAAAGGTAGACCCCCCCCCTCTAGATCCGACCATGCACCAGTATTTACAAAGGTTTCAAAACTGAAATTAACAGTATGGCCACTTACACATATCTTTAGCTACAGATGATCGTAAATCAATGTCTGATACTTTTATGTGTTCGAAAAAATATCCTGAGTAGCTCAGTTGGTGAGGTACAGGTAACCCACCTTACACGTCACGTGACGAAATTTAGTATTCACAAAGTTACCTGAGGTAAAAAATCACGTGGTGAATTATAATATGTTGTAGGTCACAATTCTTGGTTACAGTAGAGAGAATAAACGTCAGAAAAAAGTGTGTCTCTTTTAAACTACGAGTTCATGTTTGCCTATTGATCTCCTCTTTTATATATATAAATATATACAGCTACCATAAAATGGAGAACAATAGACAAACATGCGCTGAATATGCATTTAGTCAGTAAAAAAGTGGGCATCTTAATTATCGTATGGAGATTCAGGAAATCGTGTTGACCCCTGACTATGAATTTAATTGAACATATTTTATCGACAAAGTCAAAAGAATAAGGCACAGTTTCTATAACTTAGGCATTGTTCTCCTTATACAAAATCGTATAAAATGGCCATAATACAAGTGCAATTATTTTGATCATTAGTATCGTCAAAAAATGAGAATTCTTGATATGCAAAACATTATTCTTTATAAAAACTAATACTTTTATGGAAAATCTTCCACATTCGTTTAAAAAAGATTGAATAACTTTAAAAAGTTCTACATTTTGTTGATCACAGAATGAATCAACCCCCACCCCGACTGCATCGCATCAAATTCACAACTAAAAAGTACAAATTATGGAATGATAATAAAGAGAGAATGTCTTGTTTAAAATTTTATAAAAAAAAAAAAAAAAGAAGGTATGAATCATGAACAATTTGGACTGGCTATTAAGTTACAACGATATACAAGTAAGTTAGAATTTAAAGTTTAAAGTACTATTATGTCTTAACCTTGTGTGAATTATATTCAGAAGTCTCTTTCCATATGAAAAATACTTTGGAGGTTTTGCAATATTGCTTGACAGAAAATTTAAAAAAAATTTAAATGGAAGTTGCCTTCCTTTGATTAAAGGCAGAGATTTTAAGCACCGCCTTCAAAAGTACCTGGTCTGTGTACCCGTCAATCAAGAACATTAAGGTACATATCATTGGGTGCTTGAACATGATTGACATTTACTTACTGTTTGGCACTCGTGGTGACCTTCAAATTAACTTTTAATCCTTTGATATTTACCACACATGGTATAAACAATAGGGAAGCTGTATTACTATGGAATTTTTAGCTTGATAATATATATGTACACACCTTTAGTACTTGAAATAATTATGATATTCATTATGATAATATATATCAAAATTAGGTATATATATATAACTTTTTTTCAAAGCTCAACAAATACTTTGATTAATAATATTTCTAATGGGTGGGGATGCTTTGACACACATTCAATTACAAATTAATAAAAAAAAATTAGAATTAAACTTTATTTACAATTTTTATTTCTAATTTAAAATCATCTCAAAATCCCAACACAGGTAAACTTTGACTTCTTGGGTATTCTATTGTGTATTAAATCATTTCCTGTGTGTAGAGATTGGGAGACAATGACCACAGATAGACTGCTAGCCCTCAAGGCATTCACATCTGTACAAAATAAACCCCTCCCTAACCTGGAATTTACCACCCGGTACAAAATCTCTGCCATTAAGACTAATTGCATCCCACCTTATAACAGTATCAGGAATGAAGGATTTATTAAAAAATTCTATTGTGCATTTGGGCAAGAAATAGTTGGAAGAATTTCGAGTAGAATATTGTGAAACATTGCTTAATTTTATATCAGGTACCATATTTTGTATGTACATGTAAGTAGGTACTACGTAATTGTGTATTTTATACACTATTACTAGATTAACTCGATTTTTTCTGTTTCCCAAAGGTTCCCAACCGGTTTCCAAGTACATGTATAAGGAATTTTTGGAAACAATAAGCGAAAGATCAGTAAATATTGTAGTGGAAATAATTGGCCTCTCTAAAGCTTTTCAATATCTGCCTTTATGCATTTAGACCAAAGTTCAACAGAGTATTCCAGTTGTGGCCTTAAAAGAATTATACATCTGGGTTAAAGTATCCCTTTACACAGTGCATTTTAGGTTTCTAAGTTAACCAAGTTTTCTGTAGGCCTTCTTTACAATGTTATCAATGTGATCAGACCAACCCAAATTTGAAGACATAAATTTATTGTGAGACATATTCTAATTGACAATTTTGAAAAAAAAATAAATTTGGAATTTATTGAACTTTTTTAAATGAAAAAATACAGCTGTGGTTTTCTGTGGGTTAAATTTCAACAACAATTTCTTTGACCATTCATGATCATGATTCAGATTTTGCTCCTAAGAATGATATTATCTGAACGTTGTTACAAGGAGTTATCATCAGCATATAATCTACAAAGAGACTTCATTTGTATACAACAAAAATAACAGTGGACCAAGCACTGAACCCTGAGGGACTCCAGGTTTTACATTTCCTAGAAAGCAAATTTTCTATACATGACTTGTTGACCCATCACTAGGTAGAATTTGAAAAATTTAAGTTTGCTAAAATTACTAGACCTCAACCATGTGTCATGACAAGAATTGCAACAAAATTGCTTTCAGTGATGAACAACACCCATATCATATTTCATTAGGATATGCTTCAAATTGCCATTGTTAGGAGCAGGTTTGGTAATGTGCATACCCTCAACTCATAGATAGCCCCCTGTCACTAGCATAGCAGTTATAATTTTCAAAGCAAGGTAATTTGTAAGCCTGGGTCTTGCGCATACTTGCAAGGGACAGCCAATCATGATATACAGATAAATTATTCAGAAATCTGTATCAGAACTTTGAGGCACTGCATTCAAATGTATTGCAAAGATATATTAGCTTAAAATCACTTTAAGGAGGGATTCTTGCCTGGTTTCTGACTAGATGAAATATTCAACGTATATTTGCTCATATGTGATATATATTTAGGTGTAAGGGATTTAAAGATCATATTTTTCTTTCCTCAACATAATTGTACAACTTAAATAAAAATGGTAAACTGAGTTTGAAATCTAGCAGGGACTATATTTTTGGCGGAACGGCGGCATATGAAAATATCTCCTTGACCATTCATGTAGTATTCTAGGATCATGATTAAAATTTGCTCAATAAGAATGATATTATCTGAACATTAATTGTTGTAAGGAATTATCCTCAGCATATAATCTACAAACAGATATGTTTTCAGCAACATCATTTACATAAAACAGAAATAACATCTTATCAATTACTGAATTCGGAAGTACTCCAGCTTTAACATTAGAAAACTAAATTTTTATATATAACTTGTATTCTGTTGCGAAATAACCGCTGCCTATGAAAACGGATTCACTGTTCGTAAACACAAACTTTTATTTATTGAAATTACGCAAAGTTGCAGTTTAGATATTGATCATTCTTTAGATGTTGATCATTCTTGTAATTAAAGAAAAACGCCCTTTCTGAGAGTTGATTTTGTCGCAAAGGATGACTGCACTTAAGGACATGCGAAATTTGCGACAAAATAAACTTCCAAAACAAGCATTTTCCTTTTCATTGCAAGAATGGTCAACATCCAATCTACAACTTTATGTAATTACGTTTAATAAAAGTGTGTATTTACGAAGTTTGAATCTGTTTTCAAAGGCAGGGGTCATCACAATTTCTTGAATCTCCGTACGATAATGAGGACGCCCACTTTTTTACTGACTTTATACATAGTCAGCGCATGTTTGTCTATTGTTCTCCGTTTCACAGTAGTTGTATATTTGCATAAATAATAATGTGTCAAAAGGAGATTAATAGACAAACATGCGCTCATGGTTAAAAAGAGAAAAAAACTGCCTCTTCTTACACTCGCTCTCTGTGTTGTAACCAAGGATTGTGACATGTTGAATATTATAATTTACCACGTGATGTCCTACCTCGGGTAACTTTGTGAATACCAAATTCCGTCACGTGACTTGTAAGGTAACATGTTTTGTGCTAACTAGGACATTATGTTCGAACACGTTAAGTCATCTGGCATTGATATAGAATCTGCTTAAATTATATTGACGTGCTCATATTGTTAGTTTCGTTTTGAAACCTTTGTCAGAAGTGTATTTGTGCCATTCAGAATGGAGAGGGAGATTGGAAAGAGTGATCATGTTCTTTTTTTCAAACATGTCATTGTTATTTATCAAGTCTAATTTAAGACCCATATTAACAATGTTAGCTCCACCTCTCATGCATATCTAATGTTCAATCAAGGGCAGTTAACTGTAAATTCACTATATTTGGAAAACACTAAGGACAAAAAACATTGAATCATTTTATTGTATCACAGTCTAAAATCATTTTAAGATTTAAATTTGGTTTCAAATTGACAGGATTCTTTCATAAACATACAAAAGTGAAATAAAGTTTAGATATAAAAGCAACAGAAGCAACCGAAAAAGACCCCAAAACAGGCGTTAAGTGCAGTCATCCTTTCGTATGTCATTTAGTGCATCATTTAGTTCTGTGAGGTCATCAATTATCATATTCATGCAGCTTGTCACTCAGAAACTCAGAAACAAAGATAAAGTACAGTGTATAATAAACTTCAGCACAAGACCATCTTAGCCTATGACACAAACTTTATATTTTTTTATATATAAGATGTTAGCTGCTCGTTATAAATAATGCAAACAACTGGCCGTGAGTAATTAAGAATTTCAAAGATGTAGCATATGACAAATTCCATGCACCCTGAGGCCCGAACTATGGTCCACGTATTTTTTTAAAATTGGCAGAGGGCTAAGTGTTAATCATAATTATTATACATACACGATTTTGAAAGGTGTACCGTATTTCGAAATTATGATCAACATAGCCCCACCCAGGAGGTCGGTAAGGTGTAAATTACTCAATATATTCATATATTGTAATAATACGTTTGCCCACAATGTATCATTTTGAATAGAACTTTTTCAAAGATGAAATGTATTTTCATCTATGCGCCCCGTTAAAAGTATACCTATTTTTGTATTCATATGGAACAGAATTTATTCAGAAACTTCTACATGAAAAGAAGTCTTTTGCTATGCCCTTCAATTCGACGACGTGTCATCAATTAGCAATATTCATTTTCATTCCTAGTTGACTCGATATATCCCTTTGAACTCGAAATAAAATACACCACGGAGTCTGACACATCTGTTTCATATTTATATATTTTACTAGAAAAATGCATTAATGGCAACCTCAGAACAAAGCTTCATGATAACCGTGATAACTTAAACTTTTCTATCGTCAACTTCCCTTATTTATGTGTCATTACACCCGCATTTGGAGTTTATGTCTCCCAGTTGATTTGATACGCAACAATATACAGTTATGTAATGGATACACGGGAAATAGCAAATTAATGGTTCCCCGAGGGAGAAGTAATTTCCTCCCTCGAGGAACCATAAAGTTGCCATTTCCCGAGTACCAATTCCATTACTGTTTTATTATACCTAAACAAAATACATTTTGAATGTATGACCAACTTAGCCAAACCCTGGAGTTTGAAACCTGGGGGGGGGGGGGGGGCATAAATTTCACAATATTGGTAGAAGATCAGTATATACAGTTATGGAATGGGTATGAAAAAATAGTAAATTTATTCGCCGCAGAGGGAAATAGTTTCCTGCCGAGGGGAACAATAAATTTGCAATTTCCCGTGTACCAATTCCATAACCGTTTTATTACACTGAAACAATCTAAGGAGATTAATTAAACCAGATACTCAGACATAGGCAATAGACAATATAGTGGCATTAAAAGAAACTCAAATTCACGTAACTAAACTTTTGTTAGATATCTAATGCAGCAATACCTAGGAACGTAATAACATGTTAAAAAATTAAAATAATTTCACATATATATTTTAAAGAATTATCGTGCTTGTCATTTTCTATAATTCCAGTATGATTTTAATATCGCATGTCGAAATGTTTAATGTTTGGGGGAAGTATAATTCCTTCTCAGGAAAATAGAAAGTGTTATTATACCTCTATTGTTACAACTCTGTATAAAATCGATACTAGTACCATGAAACTGTCTGTTTCTCACTACTTCCCCCATATGAGGACTACTCCATGTGAAATCAAAGCTACTCATTGGACTACTTTCTCTCATTGATATTCATTGATATTATAACCAATCAAAATGCTAACTGGGCGGAGCATTCAAGGAATGAGTCTGTGACGTAATATTAATAGCAAAGTAACTATGACGTCAAAACATTTCGACATGTGATAATCGGATTATTATCCAACATGAATGCCATCATACCAACATTTTCCGACCTTTTATTTTACAGCATCTCAGATCTGTAATTTGGGAAAGGTTCATCTATACAACACTTCGATATCATCAGAATATGAATATAGTAAGATAGAAGGGACTCCAAGGCTCTCAGCAGAGAAAGCATTGGATGGGAAATATCACAATCACTCACACGGATGTGCCGGGTCAAACGTCATGAAAGCCTTTGGTGAGGCTTGGTGGCAAGTGACCTTCAAGTCGGCTTCCAAGATCTTTAAAATAAACTTGGTCTTCAGGGAGCAGTGTAAGTACGAGTACAGTGTTTCTAAGTGTCCAGATGATCTGAATAACCTATAGTGTTAAATGAACTTTCAAAAAAGTTTGGAAATCGTCATGATTTTTGTGTATTTAGCTGAAAACACTCACATTTCTGACCCCAGCTCGACTTATTTGTTAAATTTTCGTTGTTCATCTTATATAACTAAATAATGTTAACAATGAAGTTTCCATTAATAATCCTCTATATACTGCAAACTTAAGAATTCTAATTTTGTGGTATTTTTATGCAGTTAGAGTTATCTTTCCTTAGATCTACGAAAAAATAATAAAGTGAAATCTACAGCGTATTACATAATTTGTAATCAATTCAAGCTTTCTTAACATTTTAATAGGCCACTTTTTACATGTATTTTTTCCATTTGAGTAAGCAACAGTGATTTCTGTTCATCAATACTTCATTGTTGTTGAACATTTTTTCCAGGTGGTAAATGGCTGGTAATTTAGATGTTATAAATGAAATAAACTCAATAGTTACACATATAATATGATTTTCTCAATGTCCGAAAAAAAAATTCATTGTGCATTGTGTGTGTGGGTCCTTAACTAAGGTACTATTAATCAATAATTATAGTTCAGGTATATGCGGAAGCGTATTAGTGCCACAAAATATATTTTTTATAGTTGGTAATTCAAACTTTAAAGTTGGCTTTTCCAATTTTAGAGTTGGAAATTCTAGCTTTAAGCTTTTTTTTTATTGCATCAGCAATATATATGATATAGCTTTAATCTTGGCTTTTCCAACTTTCAATAGGTTTTTCCATCTTTAAATTTGGTAATTATAACTTTAAATTTAAGTTTGAAAAGCCAATTTTAAAGTTTGAAAATCCAAGATTAAAGTTGGAATTTCCAACTTTAAAGTTTGAAAAGCCAACTTTAAAGTTGGAATTACCAATTTAAAAAAAATATTACGTGGTACTAATACGCTTCCATATGTATACGTACAGTATCCCAAAGAATATTTTTATCCATGCAAATACAACAAATACCATGTGTATACCTTTGAAAGGTAACTTAGAAAATTCAACTAAATATTATAAAAATAATCTGTTTCAGATTATGAAGAGCATCCGTGAAGTATGTGAGTAAACATTTAAAGAAAAGACAAATATGGTCTTACTATATATTGTAAGCTTATTTCAGATACCCGACATGCTGGCTACTATGTGTTCATCACAAATCGGACAGTGACATATAGTGAACTGACCTCTTTTGACCCCGTTTACCACGACGAAGAACCTAGCCCAAGCCAACAAATGACAATCATTTTTCCTGAGGGTCACGCTGGTGTACAGGTGTTTCTTTATGTCAACAAATCAAATCCATCAACGGAAAACTATGCTGTGATTGAGCCGTGTGAGGTGGAAATATATGGTGATAATTGTTTTTTTTCCTTTTCTCGGTAACAAATCAAAAAATTTATCATAAACATTGAAGTACCAGTAAAAGATAACTTCTATTTATTGGCAATTATTATAGTATTTGCTGTAATCACATTTTATTTGTGGATCTTTATTTTCGCGTAATTAAGTCATGCACTATCTGCTCGTGAAAATTTCATTCTCGCTTATATTTGTATTGTTTCAGATAAATGTACATTAATAACCAAAATTAAGGAATTTTTTCACACTTATTAATACCATATAGTCATCTCAAGAAAATAAGGTGTCGCAAAAATTTGATGATCCACAGTAGGTAAACATTTCCATATTATTTTATAGTTCACCAGATTTAGAGCAAAAGGCTCAGTTGAGCTTTTCTGTCCGTTGTCTGTCGTTGTTGACGTTGTCGTCGGCGTCCTTGTTGTAAACCATTCATATTTTCATCTCTTTCTCCTATTTCAACTAAACTTGTCACAAAGCACCCTTGGGTGAAGTTTATTTATTGAAGCCACGCCTTCTTTAAGGGAAGATATTTGGAAAATAGTGAACATTTAAGAATCTTCTTCTCAAGAGCCATTGGACCGTACAAGTCAAAACTTAGGTGAATACTATCTTGTATAGGGTTTTTCCAGTCTTTTTTTTCAGTCATGCTCCCTAGGGGTAGAATTAGACCGCAAAGCGGCTCAACGTATATAGAAAATATTTTTAAAATTCTTATTCTCAAGAATAGCAGGACAACAGTAAGTCATATTGGTTTGCAGCATCCCCATGGACTGTGGATTCAAGTTCGTTCAAATAATGCCCCCTCCCCCACCCCTGGCGATGAGAGAAAGATTGGAGCACAATAGGAAAATATACTAGCGGAAAATAGAAACTGTGTATACGTAAAACTTAAATAAAAACATAAAGGTATTGTATGATCGCTCTTCATTCTTAAAGACCTAGTCAAATATCCTAAATAGATATCGTTAAATATCGCGATATCGCGATTTGCCTAGATGGTCTCAGCACCGTTTTCTGGAGTTTCGAACCTAAGCGGCAGGTGGTTAGTAATTGCTTAAAATTTCGTGCATTAATTGACAGTATTCAATGTATTGAAACAGAAAAACAATGGTTTTTGGTATAAAATTTTGATTGAAAGATTCCTTGCATGATTGAAAATGATTGTTTGTGTGCTATTGGTATGCTGGAAGCTGGGATGTTTCAAAGCAGTGGGGCAAGGCAGGTTGTACTTCAAACACTGTAAATGCTTTATAGAGACGATATCAGCAAAATGGCACCGTTCGGAACCACCTACGATCAGGACGTCCACGTGACGTCACGTCGGCAAGATACATATATACAGACGTCACATTTGCATAATCGATTCCAATCGGCTTCTTTGATCGCGAAAGCATCGCTGGGCATCGACAGATAAGTCCTCGTACCGTAAGGGATAGAGTAGTCCTTTTCCAAAAAAAAATCTTACGAATAATATTCATGGTAAGAGAAATCTTATGATTTTCTTCCTTTTCACCAAAATTCACCAAGATTCTTATGAGTAAAATTTGTCGTAACTTTACGAGGACTCTAACCCTCTCGTAAGTATCTTAGAGCCGGTTTTTATTTAAAAATATAACAGATAAAACCCAGATAAACGTTTAATAGAACTTTTTATGCATCCTATAATAAAATTTATTTCATTGAAGATTTTTCTTGTGAAAAGGGCTACAGATTGCGAGAGGCCAACATCCGTCCCTGACGTCCTGCTTTAAGTCTTGTGCTCTGGCGTCACCGTGTTGCGAGGTTAGCGTGGTGTAGGAGGCAAAGACGGTTTAGTAACAGAGATTTGGCGGAGGTTCATGTTTAGGGACGAGTCGAGATTTCAGTGGTGTTCGGGCTTTACTGTCGTGCCGGAGAACGTTACATTGATGTCTGCGTTATCCGGAGCATTATGGTCTGGGGGGATAAAATACATGGAAGGACCCCTTTGGTGATAATGGAGGGCAATTTAACCCGCGTACGTTCTACTAGAGTGATGTCAATAGCCTTTTCACAAAAAATCTTAAGTTTTTGCCTAAGAGTTTTAACTTAAGAATCTCTTACAAAAAATTCTAAGTGCTCTTCACGAACGCATTCGTAGCAGATTGAACTTAAGATTTTAATTACGACAGACTTCTTCCCTAACAACGATCTCATATTGCTTAATAACCCTTAAAAAAGTAGATGAGAATAAAAATGAAGCGAAGTTTTCAAAACTTGTTAGTGAAACAAACACTATGAACAACAAAAATCGAGTGCAATCGATTGTGAAGCAAGGAAGTTTGAAATCTGATAAATCACAATTTATATAAGAATATTTAAGAACAGCTAGGCCATGGTTAGTGAAATTAATGTCCTTGCAAGTAGGGCAGATTCAGTTTTTTTAATATCATGCTGTGGTCCCCAGGGATAGGGTGGTCCTAGAATGGAAAGCAAAAAATTACAAAGAATAATGGAAAAAAAATCTTCAAAAGTCTTCTTCTGAAGAACAAAAGGAATATGATTAGTCATATTATTATGCAGACATCCTAAGGTTGTGCAGATTCAATTTTTAAGACCACGGAACATGAACTGGCAAAATTTGAAATATGCAGCTTACGTCATTTCCATCTGTTACAGTCAAAACATGTAATGATAGACAATGAAATGGGCGGGTGCAATTTGACACGGACTTCTGAGAAAACATTGGATTGAAATTTTATTTCTAAATTCATTTTCAATCCACCTGAGCTTTTTTTCATACGCAAAGTGTTAATATATGATCCAAAAGCCAAATAATTTCAATTCCCAAATTCAAGTGTAGTTTGGAATTAATGTATATCAGAATTTTCTATCAAATTCTTAAGGACAAGCAAAAGTTATATATAGAGTAGATAGATTCTTTCAGGGGACGGTAAACTTTGTCAAGTCAGATTATTTATGTTCATTCCTTCACATAACAGAATATTTTTATTTCTAGGATGACAAGAGATATTTATTTTCTTCTTCACTGAAAAATGTTTGACAAGCGAAAATCAGGAGGGGTGTATGTGTCCAAACTCAAAAACTTTCTTATTCATTTCTAAGATCTTTAAGCCCTCCTAACCCCAAAATAGGAATCAAATGGCCGTCCCCTTTTTATTTCTTTAAAAACACCGGACAAAAAACGCCGATTTATATGATTTTTTAACTATTCTTCAGTTGAAATTATTTGTCTTTTGGATCAGTCAGTAACACTGTGCTTACGAGCGTAGCTGAGGAGGATTGGACAGAATTTCAATCCAATGTTTTCTCAGACAACCACGCCGTATTGTACGGCCCATTTCATTGTCTATCTTCAAATTTTTTACTCTACGGAAATGACGTAAGCTGCAGATTTCAAATCGTTCCGCGGTCTTGAAACCATTGCCCTGGGAGTAATGTGGGGCCAAAGGGGGATTGAAATCTTACATGAGAATATATTATTAAAAATATGGTTTAAAATCCTTTCAAGATTGGTAGGTCAATGATTAGTCATATTAATAAGCAAACATTTTTAGGTAGTGCAGATTAAAGTTTGTTAAAATCATGGCCCCTGAGGGTAGAGTTTGGCCAAAAAAAGGTAAACACTCATGTAGGAATACATATAAGAAATAAAAATAATTCTAGAGTATGTAGCCACATTAAATCATTAAAATGCAAACTTTCCCAAAATATGTTGAATGATTTTTTTCTTCAATTTATTGACCCTGGGGTTAGGTTTGGGCTAAAATAGGAACATATTTCACATAATATGCAGTAAAAAAGATTTTAATGAAGAGCTAAAGAAAGAGTTAGAAAGAACAGCTTTATCCAGATGAGCATTGTAGCCAATGGACCTCTTGATAATTGTTTTTATGGAAAAAATTAAACTGATCAAGGGTCAGAATACAAATGACTTCGCCCAATATATATATATAAAAAAAAATACAGAATTTTGTAAATGTATTTTTCAGGATGTGTTGATGAACTTAATCATGAATGCGCTTGCTCAAGCGCAATTGCTGGAGAGAAACTGAGTAAAACTTTGTTGTTTTTTTGTTGTTAACTGTTTATTTAAGTTTTCGTATTAAAAGTCATTAATATCTTGGAATGGTATTAGTTGTTAAAAGGGGAAAAACTGAGACAATTTGTGATCTTAAAAGAAATCTTATCACATCAAACACTAGGGGAATTTCATTTCAATTGATAAGACAAATTTTTAAGATGAGGAAAATGCAAATCGCCTTTAAATCAATGAATTTTAAAAAATAAGTGCAATCATAACGAAAAATAAATACTAATAAACGTCTTTCCATATTTGTTAAGCTTGACTATTCCATGCATATTTAGAATTCACAACTATCAAGTTTAATATTTAATAAAATGACTCTTACAGGTGAAATTAATTTTAAAATATTTTTAAGCTCTTATATCTATTTGATGTTCAGAATGCAGTAAGTAAATACATAAATCTAATATGCAAACACATGCGATTAGCTAATTTGTATTCGTTACAGCCCGTTGGAATTCGACAGTGATTTTTGAACATGGATCGTTTTCACTCAGGTGTGATAGCAATTACCTGTCTCTGATGAATGTGACGGAGTTTGAAAAATCTCAGAGCATTTCAATGTTAACTGAATGTGATGGTAAACAACAGTGTTCATTGAAAACTGATTCAACCATTGAAGGGAAATCCATCAGTTTCTTCTGCTATAGTAAGTGTCTCTAGTCTAAGACTTTTTTTTCTTTACTTGAATAATTCCCAGGCATGGTAATGCATTAAGAACATTATTTTGGAGAATTACTTTTACTTTATCAACATAAGACTAAGTATTGACTAGTACTTGATATGGACTTTTAAAAAATCATTTATTGTGAATTGGTATTTGTCTGTGGTCTTTAAAGTTTTCAATATCTGAATTGGATTTACCGTCCGTATACTGGATTTCAAAACTTCATAAAAATCATTACAAAAATACGTTGCGGGGTCCAGTTAATGTTCCACCAAGCCCCCAACTTAACGCCTCAAAAAGTATTTACTGCTGTAGAGGACAACCTTCAGACTTACTCTGCTACAACATGTATTCTAGAAGGGGTCTAAATCAATAGCAAATTTTCAAAAAAACTCTAAAGATTTAATATGGATTTTGGAATCACAAAAGTCAGCATCATCAAAACATAATGATAAGTATCCATTAATTCATACAGTAATATTTCAAGATGAATTCAAGGCAGGCTTTTTGACATCATAGACAGTGCTTCCTCAATAAAAATGAAACTGGGAAGTTTTCACATCTCATTTAAAAACTCATCACTGTTTTACATATAGAATTAAGGCAAAACTCCCACTCGGCATCGTCAAAAGAGGTGCTACAGTTTTCAAATTCTTATGTTTACAGGATTTATGATTGATTGCTATCTTTACCATATTAACTCTTATAATGACGCATATAAATTAATAAAAGCTTTTGATGCCGACAGTCTGTCTGTACAACAACATCAATATAAAAACTCATAAGGCACGTATATGTAACCCTCAATTTTCATGCATATCATCAGTTTGGGTTGCAAATTCAATACAATTCTGAAACAAAGTGCTTACAAGTACATGTGCTGATCATTCTCTGCTGTCCATGGTTTTCATATGCTCACCCGAGTTTAAGGATAGTCATAATTCACTGCCAGTGTCTACACTTTGTATATGATATTGACTTTTGAATTCGATTTACTTGTAACTATACGGACTTGGTCAGGTATCGGTCAACAAATACCTGACCAAGTCCGTATAGTCTCGAGTAGACTTCAGCAAAAGTCCATATATTTATATAATATCGCTGAAATATTTGCACGAACAGTATACCCAGTTTTAAAACAAGATGTGTTTGTGAAACACTGATGCCCCCGTATAGCAACTTATAGCAAAGGTTAAACTTTCTCAAATGCAGATCAAATATGTTGGTACCCAAAGTAAGGTCTTGTCTCGAGGAATATACCTGTGAAATATGAAAGCCCTAGCAGCAACCATTGAATAGATATGGAAAAGGTTAAAGTTTTTCAAAAGTAAGTCAAATCAAGGTCAAGGTCAAATGGTCAAAATTATGGTACCCAAGGAAAGGCCTTCTCACAAGAAATATACAGGTGAAATATGAAAGCTGAGGGACCAATCGTTCAAAAGTTATGACCAAGGTTAAAGTTTTTCAAAACTAGGTCAAACTCCAAGGTCTAGGTCAATGGATTACAATTGTTGGTATCCAAAGGAAGGTCTTATCACAAGGATTACATTGTGAAGTATGAAAGCCATAGCACCAACGGTTCAAAAGTTATGGCCAAGGTTAAAGTTTTCAAAAAGTATGTCAAACTCCAAGGTCAAGATCAAAGGGTCAAAGTTGTTGGTATCCAAAGGAAGGTCTTGTCGCAAGGATTAAATATATGAAGTATGAAAGCCTTAGCACCAACCTTTCAAAAGTTCTGGCCAAGGTTAAAGTTTTTCAAAAGTAGGTCAAGCTACAAGGTCAAGGTCAAAGTTGTTGGTATCCATAGGAAGGTTTTGTCCCAAGGATTACATATGTGAAGTATGAAAGCCTTAGCACTAACTGTTGAAAAGTTCTGGCTAAGGTTAAAGTTTTTCAAAAGTAAGTCAAACTCCAAGGTCAAGGTCAAAGGGTCAAAGTTGGTGGTATCTAAAGGAAGGTCTTGTCCCAAGGATTACGTATGTGAAGTATGAAAGCCCTAGCACCAATTGTTCAAAAGTTATGGCCAAGGTTAAAGATGGGTAAAATTTTGCAAAACTGGGTCAAACTCCAAGGTCAAAAGGTCAAATATGGTGGTACCTTAAGAAAGGTCTTGTCACAAGGAATACACATGTGAAATATGAAATATGAAACCTTTTGATCCTTTGATATTTTTGCACACAGAACATTAAATAAATCTTGATAAATACTAGACTCTGGGTTTTTAAAGCTTGGATAACGATTTTTTTCTCCATAAAACATCTCGTTCTTATCAATGTTTCATAAAGTCTTGAGAGAGCTGTTTTATCCATACTTTAAATTGTTTGTTTTTTAAATTTGCTTTAAATTATCGACTGCATTTATTTTTTAATACATTTTTAATAATATTTTTAAACCTAATTTAGACCTAATTTGAAAATTGCTACACGTCATATAAGCTTTAAGTTAAGATTTGACATTTTGAATTTCATATTTGAAAAGTAAAAAACCACAGACTAAAAAAAAAAAAGTTAAAAAGCGTTTTTAAATGTTGGAAAGAAAATTTAAACAATCACAAGTAAATTCTTATTAAAGGAAAAGAAGCAAAAACTAACCTGTATGATTTTATCTCTGATAGCAATGAAAACTTATGTAAGAAAGGCTACTGCCGAACGTACATGTATAACATTTTGCCATGTTCCTCGAAAAAAATATGCCAAAAAGATTTCATGCGCGCGGAATTTTTACCAGGTGGGGTCCATCCAACTCGAAAAATAAATCCAATCAGAACTTTTTTGACAAGCCAAAATTAAAAAAAAAACTTCTCCAAATCCGAAAAACCTAAATTGTGGGAGGGTATAGGAGGTGGCATTTTCCTTCGCTTTATAAACTTAATATATTTGACTCTCCTAACCAACTTACCAAGAACCAACTTACCAAGGATCCGGGTTACTTGGGATGGGGGGTGGGGGGTTGTTGAATGGGTCCAAGTCATTTTTGAGTTACTTTGTAAATTTTATAACTCTGAAAATTCCAGGGGATGTCTCGGACCCCTTGACCCCCTCTAGATTTAGTCATCAATCGTTTCATTAAATTAAAGTGAAACTCCTACTTCCACAATTACAGATAAATGCCTCAATAAAAACTACACCAACACTCTTCTCAAATATAATTTTGCTGAGGATATAGGACAATATCCTTATGACGTAAGAGATCCGTTCACTGCGTTCCTTAAGTCACGTGTCTTTGAGTGTGAAGAACGACACGTCTTGACTGATGGGAATCTCACACTTCAGTGTAGAGAGAACAGACAGTGGTCAGGAAAAGCTCCTGTGTGCAATGGTGATATATTTTTTATTATGTTAAAACTTATTTTATAGACTAATATAAATGCTTAATGACATGGTTAACAAATGTTTGATACATTTTTACCAGTTGTAATTAACTCAACTTTTCAAATAACAGCATGAAGTTTTACAAGATACACTACAAAAACCAAATATGGCCTAGATAAATAAATAAATCAGATAAAAATAAAAAAGATCGAATAAAACATCAGTACAATTTTATTAACTTTCAAATTCATTCGATTAAGAACTGAAATTCGAGTGAATTTGGGTCTTAGGGAAACTTTGATGTTCATCCTTATCAATCCATACATTTGATTGATTGATTGTATTCGAGAATTATTCACTCATATAGAGACGTCACCATATACCGGTGCACTAAGTCATCTCGATATCAACATGTTAAGAGAAGCTCGTGCAATGTTTGTTCTCAGAAGGAAAGAATATAATAATTGACAGTTATGAAGTTTGGTACAGAAATAAGTTCTAAAAATTATATCCGTTTTTCTTTTTTATTTAACCGTTCACGGTAGCTCAGTCGGTAGAGCACTCGCTCCGTGATCGGGAGGTCGTGCGTTCGAATCTCGGCCGCGACTAAGTCGATAAAAAATGGGTAGCAACTGTTCCTTCGCCATGCGTTCAGCACTTTGAAGTGAAAGTTGCGGGTCCTTCGGATGAGACCTTAAAAACCGAGGCCCCGTGTCACGGCATCACGGCAGGCGTTGGCACGATAAAGATCCCTCACTGCTGAATGGCCCTGAGTGCCGAGTAAAGGTCAAAATTTGAAGTCGTTCACTGGTATATGGTGACGTCTCTATATGAGTGAAAAATTCTCGAATGGGACGTTAAACAACATACAATCAATCAATCAGTCTTTTTTATTTCCAACAGTCACTTGCCAGGAGCCTGATCATGAAAATGACACTACTATTCTTGAGTATGGCAAGTCACCGATGTATTTTAAGGATGATAATGTGACATACACATGTAAGAAAAACCATCGTCACGTAGATGGCAATCTCATAAGAGTATGTAACGAAACTGGTGATTGGACAGGAAAGAAACCAGTTTGTAAACGTAAGTTGTCGGAACTTTTAATGCAATGGCGTCATTGATATAATAATAAGTTTTTGTTTTTTTTGTATTGAACAGGCTGTAAGTGTCCATGTGACAGGGTAAGATCTCAGAATTTTATCAGTGATCCACAGGTTCTTAAAATCAGATTAGACAAACTGAAGAAAGAACTAGAAGTCCATAAAGAAAAACTGTCTAAAACAGTGAGAGCAAAGACATGTGCCAAGGATGAAAGGACGTCTGTAAGGGGCATCGGCTCTGTTCTAGGTGTTGGTATTATCACCTTTATGTTGATAACCATTGTTTGTAGTGACTTCCCATTGCTATACAGACATATCCGGTATGGACCTTAACTCTTGCTTACTGTTAACAGTTCTTTTAATTCCTTCGGTAAACCCTGTTTGTTGAATTGTTCCTATGGTTTAAAGGCATTATGTTATATATAAATGCACTCAAATGAGTACAGAATCGGTCTATATTCTATATTTTTAAAAAAAAATCACACAAGCAACATTGAATCAAAATTTTAGTCATATTCCAAATCTTATAAATCCAAAATTTTTATCGAAACCCACCTCGAAGCAACTTTCAATCTGTAGTTTGTACAGTAGTTAATTGATAAGAAAAAAATTAAGAGTTATTTACATTTCCAAGAACACATTAAGGGGCTCTAAATACTGCACGTTGAAGATTTCTAATTCAGATAGAATAAACAGCAATCTACGGTGAATGACACAATTTGAACTTTATGTTTGACAAAGATAAAGTAATGATACAAGTACATTATTTGCATGTTTTTTTTTCCAGTGTGATATCCATTCACTAATACTTCATTGTCTTTTTTTGTGTTTTTCCTGGGGAAGTTCAGATGTTTTATTATTCATTGCCATAAATTTAAGAACTGATTTAACAGTCATTTTCGACTTTATAAAATAAGATAAAAATAAATGAGAACTTTTAATACATTTCCCTATTATAGTTCTTCCAATATTTAAGGAAATTATATGTAAAAGTCATATTATTTTATTGTCCACGTGACAATTCTTGTTTGATTTTGCTGCAATATATACATAACATTACTTCTAATGAATAGTCAAAGAAGACCAAAATTCCACCATCCCTTTGAGGTTACTGAGGTCCATCAAAATAATCACCCCCACACAAAAAAAAATCACAACGATCCCGCTCGCCCCGATACCTTTAGAGGAAGGACGAGGGTCGGGCGCACTAATTAGTTTCCGATAGCTTGATGATAGTTCCTTTTTATTGACTTTGAGAATGCTCTCAATCCTCTCTATCTTTTCCTGGAGTTCTTCCTTTGTTAAATTTACCCCATGACCTTCACACACACATGTGCACAGAGAATCTGATGGAGATACGTTTCCCTTTGTGTTACTTCGGATCACGTGAGTAGTAATATCTGTGATGCTATTAACGGAATTGCTCGTTGCACTCGTGACGTCATCAGTCAAGTGTTCCGATATGGTCCTTTGTATCCATTGGTTATCTGATGACTCTGTAACGAATACTTGCGCGGGATCGGATCCGGATGAGTCTGTTTCGTCCGTTATTCCATCTGCCACCGTCACCGCCGTTCCTCCCGTACTACCATCCATTTCGTCGTATGCAGAACTGGTTCTGTCTTTTGTGAATGAAGAGTCAAATGAAGCTCCTACTGAACTTAACTCTGTATACCCACTTTCACTTAATTCGGTTACTGAGTTTCCGGATGACTCGATGGTAAATGTTAAATCTTGCTTTGCAGTAGACATTTCTATGTTGTTAACTGGTTCTGTTTGATAGACCCCAATCACAGCAAGGTAATCAGCTGGGAAGAAGTAACGCCCTGAAACAAAAATCCTTTGGATCCATAACATGTACAGATTCTAATTTCTGATATAAATAATCAAAAATGAAACTTTGAGAATTCTACAGTTTTATTTTATTTTATAAGACAAAACCAGAGAGAGAGAGAGAGAGAGAGAGAGAGAGAGAGAGAGAGAGAGAGATGATGATGTGTTATTTTAGAACATTTCAGAAGATAATTTTTTCTCTTATTTTTGTATCATATTACATAGATGTCAAAATTCAGAAATTAAATTGTGTGTCTCGGCATAGTTTTCATCTGTTAATTTTTTTTTTCAATTTGTGAAACTGCTGGAGCTTACTTCAATTCATGCTACAAATATTTTGATTTATATGTGCAGCAAAACTTATTTTAACTTTGATGTTAAATGACACTTTGATTTATAATAAAACTTTATCACTGCAATTAATTTGTAATCTGTATCGCTCATATTCCATATAAATGAAAGTAATTTTTAAATTATATTTAAAATATAAAAGTAAAAGCTCTTTTATAAGAAATAGAATATGAGTATAAAAAATTGTATTTAAGAATTGGACTCATGAACTATAACAAATGATTTTAATAGTAAAATACTTCGATTGACTTACATTGTAAGTGAAAAATTTTGATATTTTAGTTTACCAAGTGAAAAAAATTGATACTTTGATTTACTAAAGTAAAAACTTTTATAATTTGTTTTACTTAAGTAAAAACTTTGATACTTTAATTTACTAAGTAACAAAAATTAATACTTTGAATTACTAAGGAAAAAAAGAATACTTTTATTTACCATATTAAAAAGTCTAATAATGATGAACACTATACCAATGCTTAAGCTCCTTCTATCCCGACCAGAAGTGCTGAAAACTTTGAATGAAATATGGAGATAACGAACAGTATTCGAGCTCAGAGTCAATTAAAACAATATAAATCGGGAGCAGAGCAAACATGGACCTCCAAAAACATCACATGAAAGACATGGAACAATCATTATGAAATCAATTTGGAGACATAAACGCCATATGCAGGTAATGGTGGTATATATAAGTTTTGTTTTTAAGTTTTTTGTGAGTTATTGGTGTATAAATCACACAGACTTGTCACGTAGGCATATTTCATGAAGCGCGTTAGCATCTTTTTAATATCAACTTCGGAGTACCTGTGTGTACAATCAGAATGTTTTTATCAAAAAATTTATTAGACTTGAATTTATACAGGGGAATGGTTCTGTAGAGTGTTGAAAAGTTGTACTTTTTGATGTTATTAACTTTGGTAAATTTTGTGATTTCAAATTTTCTGAAAGTTAGTTGGAGTTTGTAAGTATTAACATCGGATTTATACCTATTGTTGCACAGTACTCCTGAAGTTTCTCCTTCACTGCTGTTTATATTTTATTGAGTAAAGAAAGAGGCTTGGTAGAACATTAACTGGAACCCGCTATGTATCTTTGTTTGTAAGGATTTTATGTAGTTAGGAATGGTAATGCAAATTCAATTTGATTGTTGGGAATATTAAAAATATTTTACTGACATATAATGTTGAAGAATTTTCTCCTTAGAAAGGGAACAATGAGTGTAAGTTTGAGTACCACTTGCAGATTTAAATCCAAGTTCTTCTAAAATACAATCTAAATTAATTAGCCTTACACAAAAAAAAAAAAAAAAACAATGTTGTAAGCTGCTTAGTCAGCTGGGACCAGTACATATTGATGGTTTTCATATTGCCCCTCAGCAGCTTAATATGAGATTTCAACATCCATCTGATACTTTAAATCCATTCTTACAAAGGATTTCTTTTTCATGTCTGGCCCATATCCTGGCGTGGTTTTCCACGGAATTCATAATATTTACACACTAAATTGCCTACTGATTTTCCATTTGCCGGATCATGACAATGAACACACACAGGTGTGACCGGTCGACATTGCATGCTTACTCCTCCGTGGCGCCTGATCCCACCTCTGATGTTTTTACAGATCCGTGTTTGCTCTGCTCCAAATTTGTATTGTTTACTTTTGAGCTTGATTACTGTTCACTGTCTCTATATTTTACTTATGAAATTATGACTCCAGGATTGAACGTTAGGGGTTCCCTAAATTTTTGGCCCTTTTAAAATAAGTGATTTCAGGTCCTCATTATCAAATATACTTACGTCATCAGTAATGACAATTCCAGCAGGATTACAGTTGTAGAATGAAGAAGAACATGAACACGAAGGCATGTTAGGCAATATAGAGATTTGTTATAAATGTATTATAAAATTGTATTCGATGTTACAGGTATAGAAATAACAGTAATGTATGTCTTAGAATTAGAAAAAAATGTTAACTTATTTTCTTTTGTAACTAAGTGTCAGAAACTGAAACTAAATATTTAATTAATAATTTATTGTTATGTTACCTTAATTACCCTTGATTAGGAAAAAAGGACCATACATGACCTTCCTAAAGTACTTTAAGCCATATATAGTCAAACCTCGTTTTACCGAACTCGTTGGGACTACGACAACAATTCGAGATATCCAGAGATTCGATATTCGAAGTTAAAATTCATTTTAAAAAGATGGTTGAGGCTGTAAAAGAAGAGTGTTTGTAAAGTTACAAGGTTGAAGAGAAGTGAAGCGTTTTACCTGAAGTTGGTCTGCAGACTTCAATGTTCACTTCAATAGCCAGGGTTGCCATTATTAGTTGATCGGGTATGAACCAAACACAAACAACCGGGATCAGAGTCGTGTTCCATTGCTTTCTAAACTCATACTTCTATTCATGAAAAGTGAAAGGTAATACAAAATGTAACACTAAAGTGAATAAAATGTACACGATTATTCGAAAAAAAAGGTTTCTGTGTTCATTAACGAATAAATTTTGGACTGAATATGGAAAGTTTAGTATATTTTACCATGAGCAGTTTCATTGCATTTTAAAGGATACTTTAAATGATAAAGTGACATGAAAGTAAAAAAAAAATACGTTTAATGACGGTATAAGTTTTAAGCATAAATTTTCGCTTGCGTTTTCATGGCACATTTAAAAAGATATTTGAAATGATATACTATGTGCTTTTTGGATTGTTTTTTAAAAACATTACCTTACAATGTTTTTAATTCGAAAATAAAGCTTTATGAACTGTATTATCTTGTACGCTTTCTTCTGCAATAATTTTATTCTAGTAGAGAGAGAGAGAGAGAGAGAGAGAGAGAGAGAGAGAGCATATCACCAGATGAATCATAATGACGTCATTTTATAGATACTGTTAATAAAGGGAAATACCAGCAAATAAATCTTAAAAATACATTTTTTGAAATATTTTACAGTATCCCTAAATAAAAAATGCATATTTCTGCGAAACGTATTTCTCTATACCATCTTTGTTTCAGTTCTTAAATCTGTATAAGGTTTTCGAGTTGCGTTGTCACAGTCTTTCGAGTTATAATACATTACATAAGATCCGACTACTTCTCTGGTCACTAACTTGTGACCGTGTAAGTAGAAGTAAGGTACAGCAGAACCCATGTCTAGATTTTCTTTCGATACCTGCAGGAAAATTAAACATTTTTCAAATTATGATTAATTTTTAAGTCATTTTATTCTGGTTTTTCTTCAATTCACATAAGATTTTCACACAAGGTGTCATTAAAATGATTTAACTTTATGTGAATGCTGATTAAAATCAATAATTACTCAAGTATTTAACTGATTCATGTTGGAACAAAGCTTATATTT